ATTGGTACCAGGGATCGAATTCACGACTGCCTGCTTGCAAGGCAGGCGCTTATGCCACTTAGCTAAATCCCCAGCCCCTATTGGTTTACTTTTGACATATTATGTTTCTGCTGTTGATTCTTTACCTTTCCAATCTGTTTAATTGTCTGCCTTGCTTAGTAGTTTTTTTCCTATGTGTATTTAGAATGTCTTTCAATATTCTTTGCAGGGTTGGTTTGGCAGTCATGAAGTTCTTCAGCTGTGGAAGTATCTTATTTCTCCACCCATTTTGAAGGACAGTTTTGGAGGGTACATCAGATGGGTTGGAAATCGTTTTCCTTTAGGATCTGAAATACTTCACTCCATGCTCTTCTTGACTTCATTGTTTGTGTTGAGAAGTCTGCTGTTATTCAGATAGGTTTTCCTTTATGGGTGATCTGTCTCTTCTCTCTAACAGCTTTTAATATTCTGTTCTTATGTTAGATTTCTGGGATGGTGATTATTATATGTCTGGGTGTAGTTTTATTTTGGTTATGGCTATTTGGAGTCTATCTACTTCACTGATCCTTTCTCATGTTTGGGAAATTTTCAGGTATTACTTCTGTAAATAGTCTCTCTCTCTCTCTCTCTTTTTTTTTTTTTTCTTTTTTTTTTGTCTTTTTCGTTTTTATCGGTACCAGGGATCAAACTCACGACTGCCTGCTTGCAAGGCAGGTGCTTATGCCGCTGAGCTAAATCCCCAGCCCCTGTAAATAGTCTCTTAATATCATTTCTGTTATTCTCTTTTTCATTTATCCCTATCAATCTTATGTTCATTTTCTTCACATCTTTTTTTTTTTTTTTTTTTTGTACTGGGGCTTGAACTCATGACCTTGCATTTGACAAGCAGGCACTTAGGTCACTGAGCTATATCTTCAGCCTTGCATCATCTTGCAGCTGTTGAATTGCTATTTCCTGATTCCTTGTTATTTTTAAAAGATCTTTCCTTTCCTGTTCACTAGCTGCAATATTGTCTTTGAGGTCTGAAATTCTATCTTCACTTTTGTTGAGGCAGTTTTGCCAACTTTTGAAGGAATTTGTGATTTCCTGTATATCTCTTGGAGTTTGTTTCATGAATTCTGTTTGTTTCTTATATTGTTCTTTAGAATTTCCATCTTTTTGTATTGTTCCTCCAGTTTTTTAACTATGTCTTCTTTAGATGTATTCAGCATTTTTTTTCCATTTCGTTTATCATTTCTTCTTTTACCTGGGAGATTATTTCTGATCTGAGTTCTTTTATACCTTCCCAGAGTTGTGTCTTTACTTCAGTTGATTCATTTCAGAAATTTCAGGTGTAAGGCTAATATTTTCTTCTATGTCCATGTCTCCTAGGGTTGGGCTGGAAGTTTGAGATTGCATTTTGCTCTTTTGTTTTGTCATTTTCCTGTATTTCCGGGTTCCCAGTGATGTTCCAAAGCTTCCCCTGTGGGCTAGGAATCACCTGGCCCACTTTTGTTGCACACTGTTTTTTTTTTTTTTTTTTGTCTTTTTTTCTTTTTATCGGTACCGGGGATCGAACTCACGACTGCCTGCTTGCACCACTTTTGGCTCCAGGGCAGACTTCAGGCAACTGTTAGCCGCATGGAGGTCACTGGGTGTGGCCCAGTTAGGCCCTGGGGGACCTCCTGTGATTTGGGACACTGGGCGTGGTCTTACAGCTGGGAGCTAGAAGACTTGCAATTTGACTCAACACAGTTTTGAAAGAGTTCTAAAAATGCATCAAAATATGTCCTCAATATTGGAATTAGTGTCATTTATGTAATTTTTAAATTTTAGAACTTTTTTTTTTTTTTTGAGACAGGGTGTTGTTTTGTAAAGCAGGCTGGTCCTCAAATCACTGTGTACGCTAGGCTGGCCCTCAATTTCAGTGATCCTCCTGCCTCAGCCTCCCCAGTGCTGGAATTATAGGCATGTGCCATTCCACCCAGCTTCAAAATTTAGAACTTTTGGAAGACGAGACTGACTCAAGTTTTAATAGATGTTGAAGAAGTCTGGGTTATTTTAAATGTACACATCCTTACCTTTTGTCTTGCCAGCTATTATAGTTTTGTGGGTTAGTTTCCCAGAGATGAAGATTTAGTTATTTAATCAGAAATGAAGTAGAGCTACAGGTCAGTTAGCATAGTTTGAGTTCTTAGAAGACTTTTCCATCATTTCATGAGGCCTGGAAATTTTGTTTGTTTGCTCATTTGACTTTTTTTTTTTTTTTCCAAACAGTCCAGACTAACCTCAAACTACCCAGGCTGGCTTTGAACTGATCTCCCGTCTCAGCCTCCACAGTGCTGAAATTACAAGCACGTACTGTCTTACATGGCTTAAAAATCTTTCTGTAACTGGTTATGGTATCTTTAGCAGTTACATTTGTTTTAGACTTTTTTTTTTTTTTTTTTTTTTTTTTTTGGTATTAGAGATTGAATTCAGGACCTTGCACTTGCCAGGTAAGTGCTGTGTCACTGAGCTATGTCCCTAACCTGGTCATGGTGTCTTTGGGTTCTCAACCTGCTCTCTGTTGGTGCCCACTGTTAGTGCTCTATTTCCCATCTCTACAATTATCTGTCTGCTAGGAACTCAGGCCTGTCCTATGCTCCATGTACTCTAACATTATCAATGTTTCTTATCATTAAAGCAAAACCCAGCCAGGTGTGATGGTGCATGCCTACAGTTCCAGCACTCTGGGAGATTGAAGCAGGAGGATCACAAATTCAAACCCAGCCTGAGTTCACTTAGCCAGAGATTTCATCTCAGAATAAAAAATAAAAAACAGCTGGGGATGTATCTAAACCCAAAGGTCCTGGGTTCAATCCCCAGGACTAAAAAACAAACAAACAAATAAACACAAATTCCAAAAACCACCAAACCTCCCAAACCATTAGACTGTAAACTCCAGGAGGGCAGGAAATGTGTATTTTGTTCACTATTTCAGCATCTAGAACTATGCTCAAAACCTCTGGGGTGTTCAATTTTGAAACAATCTCTGAATCTGTCACTTTGAACTAGGTGTTGGGGAAACACATACAACCCATCCAAATTAATTTTTACGCATCTGTGAATGACCCTTATCCTCTCACCTTGCTTTAAGGTGTTTGCATAATTAAAAGGGAAGCTTGTGAATTCAAATCATTGTCATTGAGAAAACTTCAATGGTGAAGCAAGTGAATGGAAGACATTGCAGGCTTAAGAAGGGTGAAGGTGAGTGGAGTAGGGATTAAGCTAGGAGAATTCCTTTAGGAGTTTGCTGTGAGGGTTTTGCTCTTCAAGGCCCTTAGAGTTTACACCAAGCCTATCCCTAAAATCCTCAACTTCTATATCATGATCCTGGAGAAGGACCACAATAGCAGGGACAGTAAGTTAGAGAGGACCTGTGGGGCTGTGTTTCCAGTGTATATTGGCTCAACCATTTCTAGTACGGTGTATTCTAAGTAGTCTAACTTTCTGGCTAAATGAACAAAGACAGGGCACCTACTGGTAGCCACTTAATGCTATTTATTGTTAGCAAGTTAGCCGTAACATTATACTTTCAAAATAGGTCGATGTAACATTTTGTAGCTTGTAAGTTGCCTTGAAAAAGATGCACATGCAATGTTGAGCTGGAGTATAATGTAACAAGTAAGAAAATTTCCTCTGTGTCGCATAAGTCAGGCGCTAGTGATTTCTTCCTAAAGATGGTGTCTTGTCTCTAGCACCTCTCCCTCTCCGAGGCTCTGTCACACACCCCACATACTTTCATCCAGATATGAACGGACTGGAAAAGGAAGTTTAACCTCAGAATTTCGAATTGTGATTCTTGGGTGTGATAAGGGGCTATAAAAAAGGTAGGGCTTAATTTTAGTATTTTCAGATTTCATAATGTCAGAATTCTTTTGGTGTTGTCAAACTTTCTCTTGATTATCTGTAAGAACATTGGTTAAAATGTTTATTTCTTTTAAAATGCAGTTCAGCTACGGGTGTGAGAACTAAAAACAGTGTATTTTCTTTTTTTTGTTTTTGTTTGTCTTTTTCGTTTTTATCGGTACCAGGGATAGAACTCACCACTACCTGCTTGCAAGGCAGGCGTTTATGCCGCTGAGCTAAATCCCCAGCCCCAAAACAGTGTATTTTCACAAGCCACAGTATAAGGTGACAAATAATTATGAAATTGTATTAGTGAATAAATCTTTTTGCAGATAGGATAATCAAACTTTGTTATTAGTTATATATAGTACGCATTCAGCGAACAGTTCTGATACACCCTTAGTCCACACAGAAATACTGTGATCCCAGGCATAAGCACCATAGTTAGAATGATCATCAAATCATAAATGAGTTTAGTACATTTTACATAGTTTTTCTATTTTTTCTCAGTTTATTTTGAATCAGTCTAACAGCAAATTGCTCCACTCTGTCACAGGACTATCATTGGTTGATATGAGTTTCTTCCTTGATTTAAAATTAAGTGCAAACTGTCACCTAATAAAATCATTCTAGTTTACAACTGTTCACGGTTTCTAAATTTTACTTGCTCAGTATTTTGCATATCGAAGTGCTAAAGAGATTTTCGAAGATCTATTTCCTACAAGGAAAATTTGTAAAAAAAATTCTTTAAGATTAATATTTTGAAAAAAATAAAATGAAAAAAAAATTAATATTTTGTACCGGGAGGAGAAATAGAATAAGGCTGTCGGAAATTTAAGACTAGAAGATCACATACAAGTGCTATATTGGTCAGGCAGTGATTAAAACATTCTAGTTCGGACTTGTTTAATAATAGGCACACATTCTATTTCTTTGTTTCATAACCACCGTGTTCCCTTGCCTTTTCTTTTTTTCTGGCGTGATAACAATTTCAAGGAGAATCCATGCCATCTAGTTGTAAAGTTTTGGTTTACTGTTGGATCTGGCTGTGCTATCACTAGGAGGTAGCAAACACAACGCAGAGAAGCAGGTATGAATATGTCTGAAACAAAATGTATCCACTCTGAGTAATTTCATGTGGGAAAACAGTTTCAAGTCGAAGGGTCAGCGCAGCAGAGACCGACCCCGACCGCGGTCGGCCCGGAGCTCCGCGTGCGCCCCGGGCGGCGCACCGGCCGCGGAGGTGCGCGCGGGGAAACGTGGCAGCAGCGTCCGCAGCCAGCGCGGGGCCGCGGCCGAACGCTCCGGGAGCCCGACGAGGAGGGCCGCGCACAGCCGGGGAGAGCCGCCGGCAGCGCTGCGCGGCGCACGCCCGGGACGGGAAGTGGCGCCCAGCCCGCCCTACGAGCCCGCGGCCCCGCGCCCGCGCCGCCCCCTTTCTCGCGGCCTCTCCCGCGTCCTCGCCACCCCGGCCGAATTCTTGCATAAATTATGCCAGGCGCGCCTGACGTCAGGTGGCGGCGCGCGGGCGCGGCGCGGCGCGGGCGCGCGGCGGAGGAGCCGGCGGCGCCGGGCGCGCGCGGCCCCGCGGCCTCGGGCGCGCGCGGCGTGCTGGCCGCGCGCAGGCGCTGGCGTGCTGGGGCCGCGGCGGCAGCGGTGGCGGCGACGGCGGCGGCGCGGGGGTTGAGCCGTGGCGGTGCGGACGCGCTCGTGCTCGGGAACTATCGGATTAAACTTGAATCGAGTGAAATTACACAAAGGAGCGCCGCGGAGGAGGTGGCCCGGGGACCCGGAGACCCTGCAACTCGCCGGAGCCGCGTCCGCCCCCGGCCAACTCCGCGCCCGAGGACCCGCGCCCGGCCGCGGCCGCCGGCCAACTCCGCGCCGCCCCGCGTTTTGTCCCCGCGGACGGGGCAGCGGCGGCGCCGCCCGATCGCCCGGCCGACCGACCCGGTGAGCGCGAGAGTTCGCCCGGGAGGGGTGGCGCGGCGGCGGGGGCGGCGGCGGCAGGAAACCGCCCCGGGCCGGGGCTGGGGCCGCGCGGAGTTGGGCGAGGACTCGGGACTCGGGACTCGGGGCGCGGGGCCGGCGGGCGGGCGGGCGGCGGGGCGCAGCGCCGAGGCGTCCGCACCGCCGCCCGCGGGGCCCGAACTCGCGCTCCGAGCACCGCCGGCGCCCCAACTTCGGCCTGCGTCCGCGGGGCGGCGGGGGCGCGCGGGCGGCCGAGGGTCACTTCCTCGCCTGTGAAGGGCTTTTTGTTGCGCGGCGGCGGGGGGGCGAGCGTGTCCGCGCGGGGGGCCCGAGCGCGCTTCCTCCCGCCGGCCGGAGCACGAGTTGCCGGCTCCGGGCGAGAGAAAAGGGAAGGAGGAAAAGTTGGGCTGCAACTCCGGCGCGAGCGGCGGTGGGCGCGCGGGCGCGGGGCGGCTGAGCGGGGACGGCGGCGGCTCGGGGACGGCGCGACCCCCGCCCGCCCCCGCCCCCCGCTCGGACCGACCACGCCGCGCTGGCCGGGAGCGGGGCCGCACCGGCGCGAACAAAGTGCGTCCCTCCCGGCGCGGCGGCGCCACCCGTGCGGGGACAGCCACCGCGAGGTGGGTCGGCGGCGGGGAAAGTGCGCGGGGCGCCGCGTGGGGCGGGGGCGTCGCGAACACGCGGCGCGGAGGGCGTCCCGAGCCCTGCGGGTGCCAGCAGCGGGCGCAGAGTTGCGAGCCCGAAACTGGGGGCTCCCGGCGGCTCCCGGGGCTCCCTGGAGGCTCCCGGGTGCGCGAGGAGAAGAAAGGGAGCCGGGCCGGGACGAGCGCGGGGAGGCGCGGGCGGAGGGACCCCACCTTGCCGAGCTGGCCGGGCCGGTGGCGGCGGCTGCATAATAGCGACTTTAACCCCCGAGAGCAACTCGGCCCTCCCGGCCTCACCCCAGCCTGTCGGGGTCACCGCGGGGGGGCACCGGGTGGCCCCCGGGCTGTCCTGGGTGCGCGCTGCCCCGGGGAGCCGCGGCTCGGAGCGTGAACGGTCGAGGTGGCTGGAGGCCAAGCGGTCAGCGGGGAGAGGAAGGAGGGCGGCGGGGGACGCGTTGTTTGTTTGGTTCGCACCAGGGACGGGGCGCGCCGGGGCCGCGGGGCGCGGGGCGCGGGCGGGGGTCTGGGCACCGGGTGGGCTGCGGTGCGGGGCGGGCGCAGCGGCGCGGCGAGCGCGCCTGTGGGGGGCCGTGGGGGCTGGTCGGAGCTGGGAAAGCAGCCGCGGCCGGAGCAGCCATCATTACCGAGCCGCCTTGCTCCGGAGGGGCTGCTCGAGTGGCCCCGCGCCGTGGGAGCGCACCCCAAACTCGTGGCCGGCCGCCGGCTTTGTGAGCGCCCCGGGGAGCGGCGGCGCGGGGAGTGCTCCGGTTAGGGTAGCCGGTTTCCCCGGAGGTCACTTTGAGAGACTGTTCACGCCTCGGTTTTAAACTAGTTTTTTCCCCCCTCTTCTGAACAGACAATGGACAAAAGAAAAGTAGCAACCCACATGGAGAGTTTCCTTTTGAATTGGTAGAATTAGATACACTAGCCAGCTCTCCACTTGCTAAGTATACTTTTTAGTTTTCCATTGTATATTATCTAGCAATCGATTTAAATAACTTATCTCAAAATGTGTCTGTCTTCTGGGTTTGGTTTCTGGAACACATTAAACAGCTTAATTTATTTTTAAAGGATTATGTGAGGGCCCTGGTACTTATTTTCTACAAATGTTATTTTGAGCCTTCTTATAGTGGGATTGAGTGTTATATTCTCCCAATTCTCTTTCAGTAAAGGGGGGATTACTCATCATGCCTAATAATCTATAGGGGGAAAACCTGTCTTTATTTTTCACAAATCTATTCTAACGATGACAAAAAAATCTTAGTGACTGTGACCTCAGCGGCATGGGTGCCTGGTTTTTCCTGGGTATAGTAAGCATTAGACTGTAGCAGTGTCTGAGTGCTGGGTGATTCGTATTTCGGAAATAACTCGAGCAGTGGTTTTATGAAGTTGAATCCTTCCCCCAGCCCCTAGAGTACATCTGTCGCCAGTGTTTTTGTCTTGCTGTTGCACAACAGAAGCTCTCCAGTCCTTACCCTAAAATGGCAGCTTTCATTTGACTGGGGCCCATTCATTGACAATGATAATAAGGAGGCTGAAAGCTAGATGCTTGGGGCACAGAGTGGGACTCGGGTTGCCTTTCTAGGTGACGCGCGTAGGAGACATTTTATTTCTTCTAGTTCGTCCATGAAAAGTTTATTTGACCCCCCCCCCTCCAAACAAAACAAAACAAAACAAGAAAACTGTTCGGTGGGGAAAAAGTTACAAAGTAAGAAGAGAATTTGGAAATGGAAAAGCGCTTGGACAGCAAGTTCTAGGGTGAAGTTAAAAATTTTGTGCAGTAGTGGAAATGATGGTATTCTCTCCCTTTTTTGGTAATCTGTTTAAAGGACATAGTGGATTTTTGTCAAGACTTGTAACAGGTGAATTTCCTCAGCGTGACACTCGAGAAAGGAGATTGTTTTCTGGCATGCTGAGTTTTATTATTTATAATCTCGTGCGTATTTCTTATTTTTTTCCTTCTTTGCAAGTCAGTAAATTGAAGTTTGATGGATTCTATCCCAGGGTTATGCTTTCAAGGTTCCAATGTGTTACTAGATCAGAAGTGAATATAATTTTAAAAACTGACATTATGCTCTAAACTCTAGTTCTTTTGGTTTAATGAATGTATTTTTAAATTAATTTTAAACATTTCTTTTCTGTATCTTCACGTATAAGGCAGAATAGAGAAATAATTTTTTTTCCTTCAAGGAAAAACAATACATTTCCCCCGAAGTTGCAAATATAAAAGTCAAAACAGTTCACGCAGCAACTTAATTTTAAAATAGTATTTCCCTAGAGTCATCTGGACTTAGTCTAGTGTTTAGCTGGTTTGAGTTAGAACATTTCCAAAACTTTTCCAAGACTCTTCTAGGTTAGGTTCACTTTTATTGGGTGAAAATGAGCACTATGAGATGTTCCGCTGTAATAGGACACACAAAAGAAATGTTACTACCTTTCCCTGGTACACATGCAAAGCCGCTAATTACATACTTACAGTTTTTAGGCAGTTAGGTTAAAAACAAAACAATATTTTCATCTGTGTACCTGCTGTGTGACCTATTAAGAGCAGAGAAAGTGAACTGTGAGGGCGGTCCTTTCACATGTGGACTGGTGTGCTGGGAAGCTTGCTGTGTAGTCCTCATCCATTCCGTGGGTTTTCACCAAACCTTGGCAAGTCTTCTGTGCACAAAATGGTACACATTAGAGGTAGTCCCTACCCTCAGAGAGTTTACCATCTACAGGAGCGATTTCTTCCTGACGATAGCCGAGCTCTTTGACTTTTTGAAGATTAGTATTGCAGGCACTAGTTATCTTTTAACTTCATTATTTAAGTATAATTTTTAAAAAGGTTTGATACCAAGCCCATGGCCGTCTTATGTACATCCGCTATAAATAAGGCATTTCAAGAATTAAAATGCCTGGGGTTGAGCAAGGTGTGACTACAAAAAATGGCTGTTAAAATTGCATCTTTGTAAGAAATGACTCACTTCCAGATTTTAAATGATTTCTACTTGTAAAGCAAGTTGGCACATAAATACAGGTCGCACAGCTAAATGCACTAAGAAAGATGTTCCTGTGAGTCAAAGACACAGTTTTGTGACACGATGATGATGTCAGGAGTGTGCTGGCCCTCGGTGAGTCTCGGTGCCTGCATGTAGACACATTTGTGTGGACCTGAGCATTCTCCTTTCTTACCAGGTTTCTAAAACCAGCAGTGCTTCATTAGTTTGAGAGATATACTTCCTCTTTCTTGAGAAAACTTTAGTCAAATCTTTGACAGAAAAAGATGACATGTTAAAATGTGAAAGAAATTGGGAACGATTACTTAAGTTTTCTCCAAAACATAGAGGTGGAATGGTTTATTTCTGTTTGGGCTCCAGTCCGGTTGCAGGTAGAGAGAGCAGTTGTTCACAGTTGATCGAGAGTGGTGAGCAGCAGGGATATAGTTATTACATTATGCTGTGTTTTCCTTGCATTAGCAGTGTTAACAGTTCTGAATGAAGTCGTATCTGTGATAAAAATAATAAGTACAAAATTAGAATGATATTGTCAAATAGAAATTCGTTTTATATTTAGAGCATGGGGACCTTGGAGAGCCAGTTGAACTTTCTCATTTCTCAAATGAAGAAACTGGAGCCCAGAGAGATTAATTAAACAAAGTGCCCCAGGCTGGGCCCCTGAGCTCCCGTTGAAGTTGTCTGCCTGGTGCCTAGCTTGGTGCCTTGCAGTGGAGGCACTGTGTTTCTTTGTTAGGGGACCAGGCTGGCTATAGAAGAGTCTGTCTCCTTTCTCTGTGATTCAGAAGTGCATCTGGTTTTAGGCTTCCACAGCATACGCGAACATAGCTCTTAAAGGTGTACTTAAGCCAATAATAATTCGCCTATGCTGTGTTTGAAATTTCCTTTTTCCTTTTTTTAAAACTATGATTATCCATCTAGAAAAATGCAGAGATAATTATTTCAAGATTTGATTACTGTTTTCAGTTTAGAAGCATGCATTCATTACCCTAAGTAGATTCCTTTACGTTTTAACTGATGCTAGGTGACTGGTGAGATGGTTGTTTTCCCAGAGAAGATTCTGTTGGTAGGTCTGCTGTGTTTTTACTTTGAAAATTAAGCACATCATTTAAAAATAAAAATGTAGACTGTTAATGAAGACACATGCTTGGCAAAAGGCTCCTGCCGTAGTGGCTGGCACTCAGGCTTGCTTGCTTGTACAGATGAGGAATTGGAGGCTGTAAGAAGTGGCTCTTTGAGCCTCACCCTCCCTGCACAGGATTTATTCCTGGCTGTGTTGAGTGAGTCTGGGTGCGGATTAGTTTTCCTGTTTCACCTGTTCTCATGTTCTTCAGTTCAGCCATTTATTGGAAGGTGCGTGGCTGCACATGGGGAGCGGCGGTGACACGAGAAGGTATGGTAGACCTACAAAAGACAAAACTGCTCCGGGCCACAAGTGCTGTGCTGGGGGCACAGGAAGCAGGAGAATGAGCCTCCACCGCTGGAGCGGGGCTGTTCCTTGGGAAGTAACCCTAGCACTGCCGTCCCACATGACGGTAGGGAAAGGATGAAGACACCCAGCCCAGATCCTCAGGCCGGTGCAGCTGACAGGGGAGGCTCCAGTGTGAGGTCTTCTCAGAGCTTTGAGAGGAGGCTCAGGCTCAGGCGCAGGAGGAGGAGGAGGAGGCACTCCAACGTGAGGCAGGGTTTATAGGGCAACAGATTTTATACGGTGGTAGTGGTGTTAAACCACACAGGGCCTTTGCACTGAAATACATCCCCTGCTCCTCCTTTTTTCTGTCTCTGTCTGTCTGTCTCTTTCTTTCTTGACAGGGCTATGCTAAGTCGCCTAGGTGGAACTTGAACGTGGGAACTTCTTGCCTCAAAGGATTTCAGGTTTTTAAAGAAAGCAGTAGGGGTCACTGATGGGTGTTAAGCAGTTTTGAGAATTGTGTTTGCAAGGTTGGTTTGGTGGGTGGATGGAGGAAGCAGAAGTAGGTTCTGGATGTGATCCTGCCTGCTTTTGTTGTGATTTATGAGGCAGTGAAATAGCAACTAAATGGGCCATGGCAACGAAGAGTGGACCGACCCGAGAAATTTTTAGGAGAGTCAGGCTTGAGATTAGATGTGTCCTGGAGGAGAGAGGTCTTAGGGGCTGGAGGTTTCTAGGCTGTGGCTGGCTGGCTTGGCGGGGCTGCTCCTGGAGACAGGGTCAGTTTGAGGAGGAGGATCATGAGTTCTTGGAACATATGACTGCGATCCTTGATAATGGACTGCGATAACCTTTGTTTTAGCCTTCTGGCTCCCCCTACCCCATGTTAGGGTGTGGTAAGCCCAGAGGCAGGGAGGGGAAACATTGTTGCTTTCCTAATAAGTTCCGCATTTTATTTTACTCCACTCATATATAGCACTTTGTAGCACCATAGGTGGAGCACAGAATCCTGTGGGAACCAGACCTTGCCACATTTTGTTCTTTTCTTCTAGGGGCCATTTTCTGTTGTTAGTTACATACTGAGAGGTGGTCCGTGGGCTCCCAGGAGATCCTGCCTCAAGCCCTCAGGATTGTGCTTCTCACCAGGGAGTATGTTTTAGAAGATGGTTGCAATCTGATGTAGGTGTGGTAGAAATGAATGAATTATTTACCTAATTGCATAGAAAAATAACAGCCTTGGTCCGAACTTGTACAAACCAGTTATCTTCAGAGACACTTCGTTCAATCATGAGAAGTGGATTATGCTTCCTGGTTGTTGGGGACAAATGAAAGGTGTTGATTGATAAATTCATAAAAACATCTGATTGTAGGTGTTTGTATTATACGGGATAACAGGTTATGAAAATCTGGAACATTAACCTTGAAACACTTTTTTAGGTAAGTGTCTGCATTTTTGTTTTTGCCAGTTTATGTAAGTAGTATTACCTAATTTTGGGGGAATAAACTAGGTTTGTTTTTGTTCATAGAATCTTTGGTTTGGGGTTTATTCCGTGGGTATTTTTTTGCGACTTTCATGTCTCTCCTGGTGCTTTGTGGAGTCTGTTGTGACTTAGCCAAGTTCATTACAGGCCTTCCTGTCTCCTTCAAATGGGCAAGGTCGTGTGGCTTCATAAGCTAATCTGTGGATGGCTGTTGGTTGTAGAGACACGATTCATCCGCAGCGTTTACCTTCTACTGGTTGTGAGGGCATATTTGAAAAAAAAAGTTAAGTGTGGATAATAGCAGTGTTACCATGGTGTGCTGACTTGAATGTTAGCTGCTGTGTGCTGACTGCTCAGTGGCTGTTTATTTCTAATATAGTTCTTTAAATGTTTTGAAATCTTGGTCCTTGGCACTGAGCTACATCTTGGGTCTTTTTATGTACCACATGTGCCCCCCCCCCCCATTTTGAGACAGGGTCTTGTTACGTTGACCAGGCTGGCCTGAAACGGTTTTCCTGCCTCAGCCTCCCAAAGTGCTGGAAGCACAGGTGTGTGCTGTGCCTGCCTTCATGACTTTTAGACATCGTTTCTTCTGTGCTCCAGTCAGTGGTGTGTTCTCATTCTTTGATCATTTCTAGCTGAGTCGTACAGGCATCAAGGGGGAAGGTGTAGGCAGGCTCCCATGATAGGGTCTTTTTGGAGGCATGAAGGGAAATTCTTTGGTTGTCTGCCTCCCCTCCTGGCTTTTGCAGTTGGTGAAAAAGTGATGGAGGAAGTGTGGTGGACTCAGACTTCTTCCCTGTGTATTTTGTCAGCACAGGGCATAGGACTGCAGGTGACCTGGGCGCCCACATCAGCGTTTGTTGGAGAGGGGTAGAGAATTGCATACACGGGTCAGTACTGAGGTGCTGTGTGCTCTTCCTGTGGTTCTCCACTTAAAAAGTTAGAGACTTGTGCGTAAGCTTTGCAGCACATCTGCTAAAGGTTACATGATATCTTGGTAATTAATTTTCTTCCTAGTTTTGCAGTGGGTTTTGGGGACTACTTTAACTCTTTTAAAAAAGTACATTTTGTTCCCCTTTTATCCTTTTGAGAGAAACCACAGCATTTTAGAAGTTTGTTTATTTTTTAACCATAACTGTACCTGTGCATATTATTTCAACACACTTAAGAACCATTAAATTAAGCACTTTTAGCATAACGCTGAGCAGGTAAATATCAGAAGGCTCTTGAATAACTATAAGAATGATTTTAATTCTTCCAGCATTATCTGCCAGGCACTAAGTTAATAATAAAATAAATGAGCACAGGTGTACAATAAAAATACGCCCTGGTGCGTGTTGTATTTTTAAATGCGTGGTCTAGCAATCACTTTATTTATGGATGGAATTGGTAACGTGTTGAAACTGAAATGTTCTTTCAGTACTTCATATTTTTGTGTACTTGACCTTGTTTATGCTTGAAATGTGGCTTTGACTAGTTGTAGTTGTATTGATCTTGCCAGAAAAGTGATGCAGACTCAGCCTGAAATTTTTAAAATCTTAAGGCCCAGAATCCCCACCCTTTAAATTTATAGAGGCAGTGAAGTGAAATAGTGCATAAAGATCAAAGCAGCTTTAAAATAACAGTAATAATCGTAATGATTAGCTAACACTATTGAGCATTTCCAGTTGACTAGGTATTGTACTGAGTTTTTGTTTGTACCAAGAATTGAATTCAGATCCTTGCACTTGCCAGGCAGGTACTCAGCCCCTGAGCTCTGTCCTTGGCCCTGTACCACTGTACCACTGTGTGTGTGTGTGTGTGTGTGTGTGTGTGTGTGTGTGAGTGTGTGTGTGTGTGTGTGTGTACATGTGAATCTCTACTTTGAGGTTTGAAGCTAGGGCTCTGCACATGATAAGCACAGTCTACCACTGAGCCATACTCAGCCTCTGCTGAATGTTTTAATGGATTGTTT